AGAATTTCTTCCCTCTGAGGGTGACGGAGCCCTGGCCCAGGCTGCCCAGGGAGGCTGTGGAGTCTCCTTCTCTGGAGATATTCAAGACCCGCCTGGACAAGGTCCTGTGCAGCCTGCTGTAGGTGACCCTGCTTCGGCAGGAGGGTTGGACTAGATGACCCACAGAGGTCCCTTCCAACCCCTACTATTCTGTGATTCTGTGAAATGAAACCACAAATATACACTGGTTTTAGCTGATTTTAGAAATATACCCATGTGTAGGATCTGATCCACAGCCCAGTCCTGTCACTGAGAAAGACTGCAGCTGAAATTAATAGATCTTGTACCAGGTTCACTGGACAATACTCACACCCATAAAGGAATCTGTTATTTACCTTTGGTGGGGCTGGGTGCCCAGGCCTTTACTTCCCTCTCAGCTTTGTGCAGTAAGATTACTGAATTTTACCTACATAAATATTCCCGCCCAGAAGTATGCCAGAGGAATAAAAATAATATAATAAAAATAATAACAAAAAATAAAATATGCCAGATTAATAAAAATAATACAAACTAATAATAAAAAATAAAAATATGCCAGTTTGATATTACATGAACTGCCCTTGGGGGAAAAAAAAGGCACTAAGTGTCTATTTCTGTATTTGCCAAAAGGTCCATTCGTGGAATGCCATAGTCAAGAGTAAGAAAAGTGTGTGCTTTCCTGTGCTCAAGCAAATTAATTCTATATGTTGTGTTGCAGGTGCTAAGGATGATGCTAAGTGACTAGTAAGAACAATGTGAATTAGTAGCAGAGACTTGAGAAGCTGCCTCAGAAAATGAAGACCAGGGAGGACAATGAGAAGGTAAGTACTTAAATGATGTTTTGCTAAACAAGGAAGGAGATCTCAGTGGATAAAAAGGGAGTACACCTGTGGCTTCTCCAGGAAGCATTCAATCAGTTGCACAATCTTAGATGCCAAGCCCATAAAGTGTACTGGATTAAATCCGCCTACAGAAGTGAAGACTAAGTAATGTCTTGCTCTGGTAGCTGCGCTGCTTTAGTTAGAGTACGGGCAGCAGTACAAAAAGCAAGCAGGAAAAAGCTTCGCTAAAGATTTTCCGGCCAAAAGCCAAATGCTACAGAAAAGCTGTGTTTAGCTGGCTTAAACGTAAACACATTACAGGTATGATAAAGAAGGGCAGAACCAAAATGCGTTGTTTTTTCAAATATACAGTAGGCGAATACACCCAATTCCTGCTCGTCTGTTATGCAAGAGGGGGAGACAGCAGGAAGGAATCGCAAGAGAGATTGCGACAGTGGGGAAAGAGCAACTGTGGAAGCCCCAGGAGAGAAATTAAAGTTTTAGAGCAGCGACTTCTCACAGAAAAGTGCCTTGTAGACTTAGCTGTTGTCTTGCCCTACATCTCAAAGTTTTTATTGCTACAGTTATGACTGCTGGGATGCGGAGGCAGGAAGCAGGGAAGAGGAAATCCCACTTGTAACAGATGCGATTAAACTGATAGGAAATAGCGCACGGATGACGTTGCATTGTCGCAGGTCTCCTGGTAGAGTGGATTTCTGTTTGGAGAACAGGTATGAGCTCGGCCAGCAAGGGAGATCTCTTGCATTATGGTTTTTGTCCATGCACTCAGGGGTCTGCCCATAGAGTTGTGCAGGTTTCATGAAGAGATTTCAGCGGCAGGGACCGCCAGCCAGATTGCATGGGAACAAGAAAAATCCTAGTGATAGAAGCAGAGCAGAATTTTGAAGGCAAAACAGCATGGAGGGACTGGTAAAGCACGCAGGATTAGAAAGTTTGTAAGGAGTGAACAAGAAAGAGCCTGTAGGCTTCTGGGCTGCGGGCATGCCTCAGGAGAGAGACGTGGGAGGGCAATGAAGAGGAATGCACACAAAAAAGGCAGCAGACAAAGATGTGCAACAGTCAAAGTCACAAACAGAACAAAAGAATGAATGAGTGAGTGAAAGAAAAACTAAGCAGGGGAAGAATTCAGAACGAAGGTTGGGGAGAAAGAAGTGGGAGGGTGATGGGCTAGTCTGCTGGAACAGTATCAATTAGGTCTTGGGTGGAGGATGGACAACAAGGAAGGGAGGAAAAAAATCTGCGTAGCTCATGGCTGCAGTCACTGCTGCCATACTTCCTGCCTGAGGGACTCTACTTGCTGTTTACCAGGGAGCAAAAGAGTTTACGTTGTCTCCTGTGCCTAGGTCTGTATTGATACTTTCCTGAGGGAGCAGGCTGTCAGCTGCAGCACACACTACTTGTCACCCGTACTGGCGGCATGAAAGGCTCCGCTTTTACTGCAGTATGAAGGAATTGCTATGTGCAGGAGCAGCAAGATGTAATGAGAACAAGAGCTCCAAGCACAGTCATTCTCTTTGATTGCCTTCAGATAAGTAATTCCCAAAGGTTAACTTAGAAATTTTAAGTTACTGAGATCTCACTAATTCTTAACCCCTGTCACTCTTGCTTTTCCTACAGAGAACACGAGGCTTAGTTCTCTACACATGCTGTGAAGTGCTGGTCATCTGTGCAGCCCCAGTATGTCTGTCAAATGCTAGTATTTTTTTTTAAGTGACAAGCAGGGACCCAAAGGGGTTTATGCTTTATTTGGACGTAACGATATCGGGGTGATTTCCTGCAAGTATTAAGCAACTAGACTTTGTTAGGGGTGCTGTCAGCTGCCCCCCAGGGAAGAAAGTCTGAAAGTGTTCCGCAAGCTGAAAGTGCTAGATGTTATCAAATCTGAAAAATACTGCTCTGCTGCAGTCATTAGTGAGTAAATGATGTAGCTACACATCTGTCCCTCTGCCTGTTGGAGGAAGAATGCTGAAATAATTCTGAAGTGACAAGAGAAAGAAAATCAGGCAGGCAAACAGAAATGGGGAAGGTACAAAGCAAAGAAACAGGGAAAGTGAAGCCATGCACAAAGCGGAAAGGGGAAGAAATAGAAGTGAAGAGATTGAACATACTGGCTTGAACTGGATGTTGGTATCCCAGTCTTTTGAATACCATTACTACTAATTATATGCTATGTTTTTGAATAGTATTTTTCTGGATTTCCCAAGCATGGCAAAATACTCTCTCTTGTATAGCACCCAGGAGAAAAAGGAATGAAGCCATGCAGCAAGATCAGAATGTGCTTGTAGGCTTGGCCTAGTAGACCACAGCTGTTCACCAGCAGTGGGAGTTCCTGTATTTTAATTCCCACAAATGAAATATTTTTCAAGTATCAATTTCCCACAAAAAGCAGCAGCTAACTCAGGGACCAGCACTAGCTGATTTTGGGAGAAGCCATGTCCATCCTCCTTGGGTTACTCGGTGTAGGTCTTTAGTCAGAGAGTAAGTGAAAGGCAGGGATGCAGCGGAGAGTCGGAGCATTCAGTCAGTGCTGCAGCGTTTGTCTGGTTAGCTGTGCAGCACGAGAACAGTATGACGCTTATAGAACACTCAGTACATTTTTTGACAGTACTGTAATCACAGAGTATATAAAGGATTATCAGCCCTGACGTCTTTTTAGCGTATAGGTGATAACCCTGAAATTACTTGGTGATACCTTATCTGGTATAGGCTTGCTAATGCAGCCCCTCTGGCTGCATCTGTATTACACAACCTAGAAATAATTACTACTTTCCCAATCCTATCTCAGCTCCACTTCAGGGTGAGATCTGGTTGTACAATACTCTCGCACCCTGATTTTCATACGGAAGAAACCTTGGATGTGTGTGGATGGTATCTGCAGCACGCCCAGCAGTCAGGCACCACAGCTGGAAATCTTTTCTCCACACACACAATTAACTTGTTTATTTCTGTTTCCACCTCCTATCTCTGCCCTGCAGCATTTTCTTCATCATCCTGCCCATTTTCTGTTTAGCCCTAGTCTGACCTCAGGCCGTTTCAGCTGTGCAGTGAGGGCTGCAGCAGGCCAGCTTGTTTTACAAATGTGTTAAAATAATTTTCCTAGGTATTCAAAACACCTGACTTGCCCAAAGTGGGTTCCAGCTACACAAAGTAACAGGAGAAATAGAGGCGGGGGAAAAAATGCTGCAACTTGGTGCCTAATGGGTTTCTGTCTTTTTGCAGTTTGTTTCTCTATAGTGGTGTAACATGCAGAAAATCAAACAGAAGGAGCTTTCCATGTCCTCCTCTTTCTGGAGAAAACACTGCGCACCCAAAAAAAGGGATGGGGTGCGCTGTGGGGGGGACTAGGTACAGACAGAGGAACTGGTTTGCTTCAGCATGAGGAACAATGAACTAAACCTCTTCTTTGCTTTGAGCAAAAAGGCAGGTGAGTCCCTTCCCCAGGCACTCCCAGGGAGAGCTCGGTCAGTGGGAAGGAGAAGGAAAGAACGGACAACTAATTCCATTGCATTTTCTTGTATCCCTGTGCTGATAAACCTCCAACTAATCCATTTTGTGTGCAACTTAGTGCTGGCTACCCGATCACATGGGGCTTAAATTACAGCTATTGCATTAAAACCACAAAGGAAAATCTCTAAATCACCCACAGTTCTGGGGTTTCTAGTCCCTGCTGTTCTGAGGTAGACGGACAAAGCTCGGAACATACGATGGAAGGGGGGGGTCCCCAAGGTACATACTCTGCCTCTCACCTTCTACGGTGTATTTTTTTAAGGGCATATAAGGTTCTACCCAGGTCTGAGAGGCAGCATGCACATTTTCCCTCGGAAAAAGGCTTCTTCCTGAGATAGCTCTGTGAAGGATTAAGGGGTGCATCCTTCATTTATATTGACAAACTATTTACATCAGTTGTGGCTTAACTGCTGGGAAAACACTAAAAGTTACATCACCGTCTGTGACACAGAGTGTGACTACCACAAAAAAGCGATCTTATCTTTGTTATCTAATCTCAAGTAATAGAGAAATTTAAAACAATATATGTTATATAAATACAATATAAATGTGTAACAAGTGCACAGTATGGCTATAATACGTATTTAAAAATAAATGTTATGTTACTTATTTACGGATATAATGTGAGATATACTCATCAGGTTTAAAGATGACAAATTTTACTGCCCAGGTTATGTTTCTTTTAAAATGGCAGAGCACTGCTTTTGTAAATAAATCTACAATTTAGTGAAGTGACCAGATTCACACACTGGAAACCAAAATGTACTCTAGAACAAAGCCTTCCAAGGTGATAATTTGCCATTTACTGCTTGATCTCTTCTAATTTTCCCTAGGTACATTTGTATGAAGTCCTCTGAACACAGGGTACCAAAGAAGGTAAGAACGCAATGTTCCAAAGCAGGAAAAAGACCAAACATCTCTGACTACCTTCCTCCCAAACAGCTGCCCAACCTCCTGCTGTAGGTTTTTCTTCCTCTTGTCTGTCCGCCAATTTGGAAAGTGCAATCCATGTCTGTTCTTAAAAAAAATGGAGTTTCTCTTGGGTATTTCTAGCTTCCAGGCCTGACTCCATTCAGCTTGCTGGGTATTCTTTGAGCAGAGTAAAGCCTAACAGAAGTGCCCCATCCAAGGGATGCTTGAACAGCAGTGGGACGCTCACGGGGCATCACCACTGGTCAGTCTCAAGTGCTTTACAAGTGGTCAGTGCTCTTTATGACAAACCAAAGCTAAAACAGCAGCACTGAGCCACGCTCGCAGCCGCAGCGTTACTACCTGGGCCGCTGCAGTGGTGGGCTGCAGGCACTGGACTCTGCCCGGGCTTTGCCTCTGGAAGCATCAAACGGGAAGGCCACATCCAGGAACCCTCCCAGGATGGTCACAGCTGGGAGCCCTCCCGGTAGGGTGAAGGGTGGCCTGGGGTTAGAGGGACGCCCCTTGCTGTCAGGGCTGGTGGGGCAGCTGGCAGCGCGAGCGCCTGGAAGCTCCATCACACAAGCAGAGCACGACGAGAGCAGCAGTTGCTGTCAGGGTTGTCACCGAGGTACCGCCTCAGCCAGCCCGGCTGGGAGCTGGCCATCCCGCGTCTCCTCTCAGTGCAGTGCAAGAGGCGTTAGCGCGGGCCTTGCAGGCGGAGGCAGGCACCGAGGGGGATGCACTCGAATGTATGCCATAAATATCCTACATTACTGCCCATGTGTTTCAGCTAACTTGAGAAGCTCGCTGGCTTTTCCAGGTATTTTGCCTGGAGGCTGACACAACTGGAGAAAATCATCTCACAGAATCACAGAATGTGAGGGGTTGGCAGGGACCTCTGAGGGTCACCCAGTCCAACCCCCTGCCGAAGCACGGTCAAGCGAGGAAAATCTGCTCACCGTGCTCCTTTCGAATCGGCCCAGATACAAAGTCACCGGAATTTCTTGCTGTCCCGGTCCGTATTCCCCTGCCGAGCTAAACGCTCGCAGACCTCCTTCACTGGGCCGCCCTGCGAAGCAGCCGGACTCACTGGCTGCTCGGCGGCGTTTCCTCACCGCACCGCC